GTAGCAAAGTTTTAATTTACTTTCGTGACAATAAATAAAATAAGTCTCAATTTGAATTGACGTCTAATCTAATACAGTTAATTTATGTTTTTGGAGCTGCATTGTGATCCCTAAAATAGAGTCTTGTATTCTTATTAATCCGTATGTGATCAAATTAATCTTAATGTTGCTGTAAATCATGGTGAAAATGTATTATGATAACTATTTTTGCTAAACAAAATGAAATTAATTTAAACAGAATGGACTTTATAAACACAGAAAGCATTTTAATTAGTTTTTGCTAGTAAAGTGTCAATAGTTGTGCCTATTGATAACTGTTAATTGTGTAGCAAAGTTTAAATTAACTAATATAAGAGAGAAATAATGTATCGTCATTCAGTTTGACAGGTACATACTGTATATATGTGGTAAAAATGTTACTTATTCTGACTTTTTACTTATTAAAATGTATAAAAGTCCAAATTTTAATGGATTAAAACACTTATTACAATTAATAGTGAGCTGCAAAGTGATCCCTAAAATAGTCTTTTTAATGTCATCTCATTAATGTTTATGTGATCAAATTAATTTTAAGGTTACTTTAAATCATGGTGAAAACGTATTATAGTCACTATTCTTGCTAAACTAAATGAAATAAATGTAAACACAGTAAGTGTTACCTTATACACATTGCTAGTAAAGTGTCAATAATTATGTATATTGATAATTGTGTAGCAATTTTTAAAAAAGTTTTAATGAACTTTTGTGAAAATAAGTATTAAAACATGGGTGAAATAATGCATTGTCATTCAGTTTGACAGGTATATACTGTATATATGTGTTAAAGATGTTACTTATGACTTTCACTTATTAAAATGTTTAAAAGAAGTCTAAATTTGAAATCTTTTCAATTAATTAGTGAGCTGCAATGTGATCCCTTTAATAGCCTTTTAATATGTCATCTCATTAATCTTTATGTGATCAAATTAATTTTAATGTTACTGTGAATTATGGTGAAAATGTATTCTAATATTTACTATTTTTGCAAAACTAAATGTAACACATAACTGATTTACTGCATTACACTTTCATTGTATTAATCTTTTAAAATCTATGACATACAGTATCTCATATTCCCTGCGGAAGCAGTTAATTATTTATGACTTGTTTAATATTACAAATTTAATAACACACAAGGTTTTTTTTTGGGATTGGATATTGAAAATTTTAGCCAATATTATATTTAAATCACAACAATTTTAATATTTGCCTTTATTACATCAATATATGTAACAAATTTACCTTTAATATTTTGGGAAATTTTTATTTTATTTTGATGATCCGTTTGTTGAATTTAAGGTACATTGTATCTACATGCCAACTAATTCTCATTAGATTATAAGTAGACTGTTAGGATATGGTTAGGGTTAGTTGACATGTACTTACAATGTTTCTTATAGTGAGTTAAATGTCTGTTGAAGGAGCAGCATCACAGATATACAAGCAGACAGTCTACTACTACTCAAGTGGACCATCAAAATAAAGTGTTACCAAAGTTTCAGATACATAAAAAAAAATGGACTGGATCAAAGCCAATTTTTTTTAATTATTGTATGTTTTGTGTGTACACTCTGGCATATATATTTTTGTATATTACTGTATAATTTAGTATTTTTTGTTATTAAAAAATAATTTAGGAGGTTAATATGTTTTTGTATTAAAGTGCCACGACGGTAATTCTATACGACGGTAATAGTTTGATTGCTGTGTTTACATGTTTACTCTCAGAGAGCTGCACTTATAGTGGATCCTCAATACTGTAGTGATATTAACATACTGTAATCTTATTAATTTAGAAATCATTTTGACTAAGGCATGGCTTTCAACACTGAAAGAGTACTGCTGACAAAACGAATTAACTTTGCCTCTGAATGAACAAACAAAGACCACTGATCGCCTACCAAATCTCTAGAGACAGGACAGTCAACACCAACTGGAGCCGCATCTTTTTTAGATGGAGGGCGACCAGCAAATACGGATTTCACCTTTTTCAGAAGCGAAAAGCTCTTGGTTAAAATTGATACTTACAAGCGTATTCGCATGCACTGTCCAACTGCTCTCTCATATCACAATAGAGCGCGCTGATTGGTTTGAACCAAGTCTTTCTCATAAATAAATGCTGTACACTCAGAGACGTCATAAGGTACTCCCAGGTACAGACATCTACTCTTTACGCTGGAACATACGCAAGTACTTAATCGGCAAGACGCAGCTTCAAAAATTTGTTTCAAACCGGAAGAACGAATTTGCTCGAAATAATGCAAAAACAACCAATTTTTACTTTTTAGCTAAATAATTGTGTCCTAATATTGATTTTAGCAGTGTGGTACAAATATACGACTGTCTACAGTTTAAAAAAAATGTGTTTTGGTGTTTCGTGACCCTTTAAATACTTTTGAAAACTTTTTTTTAATAAGAATAGAACAAGAACATTTGTTTGAAATAGAGCATTGCATGTCATTTTAAATATTAAATTAATTAAATGCATCCTTGCTGAATAAAAACACATCTTTTTTGTAATTGCTACTTGTGTGATATAACGATAATAAAGGTTCAGCGTTGAATCGCAGAAATAAATGTTTGAAATATATTAACATGAAACCAGTCATTTTAAATTGTAAAAATGTTTGACTGTTTATTGAAACTCCTGTATATTTTTGATCCAATAAACGTGGCACTGCATGGCGACCAAAAGACACTTCTCACAAAATCAACCTCAAACATTTGAACTGAAGGGTATTTAGCTAATTTTGAACCAGAGATTGACCGAGAGGTGTGTTGGTGTTGCTTGGGGATTAAAATCTTAAATACAGAAAAGCACCATCCGGTACAAAAAAAGAGTAAATGAACGTGAGAGAGTTTGTGTCTGAGAATTGTTCGTATGGGTCTGGAATAAGTCATATCTAATGACTGTGATTAGACTTGAGTCAGTGTCGCTGCCCAGTTGTTTTGATGATCTTTAGCATAACTTACACTCGCAGATCAGATCCACATCCCTCAGGCAGTTCCTCATTCTGCCACCTCTGTCTCAACAAGCAGAGTGATCCATATGTCTGTGTCTCTCTCTGTGTGTGTGTGTGTGTGTGTGTGTGTGTGTTAAGAGCAGGTGTGGTCGGGTGGAGTCATCAGGTGATTAAAGACACCTGCCGCGGGCGCAGGGGTGGTGCGTCAGCGCCTACACATTTCTAACTACACCACAAACAATTAAAAACATGCTCACAGATGATTTTTTTTAAACATCTCTAGAATGAGTAATGACAAACTACCATTAAAATAGGATTAATCAATTGTTTACAAAAGGCAACTTACATTTAAACATATAGTTTTACTAAGTCATTTATATAATAATGTTAAAATAATTATTAAATTATTGCTTGAATTTTAATTAGTAAAGATTTTATAAAAATGTAAATAACAAATGACATTGTATTAGTGTATATGGAACATATGAACAAATATTGATGCTATAATGATGAATATGTTGCATAATTTGAAGTGGATTATTGTTTCATTTTATCATGCTAATTATAGTTTTCCTATATGATATTGTAATTCAAACAGTTTTGTAAATAATGTAATAAATAAAAAACAAAATTTGTTTAAAAAATAGTTGTACACATTATAAAAATTATAAATTATACAAATTATATGAATCTAAAAACAATAAATTAATTAATTGAAAATAATTATAGAACGTAGTCAATTAAGTTTAAGTTTATAATTAAAACTAATATATAACTATAAATAAAACTAATACATAACCATTTATAATATAATTAAAAATAAAGAAAGGAAGAATCTAGGATAGGCATTATTTATTATATATATAATTTAATTTTAATAATTTAATAATTTATTTATTTTATTTTTTTGCATACTGCGTGGATATATTTTTACATATATATTTTAAAAATTGACCAAAGTATATGTTTTGGTTAATAGGGTTCATGAAAGACTAGTGCAGTATGAACAAACTGTTTAACATTTAATGTAAAAACTCAACTCAGTGCTTGGATTTGTCTATGTTTCATCCAAATGAAATAAACCCAATAAAAATTTTTAAATAACCCAAATTTTGAAGGAACAAGTACTGACGTTTGTTTCTAGAAAGCCCTCATTGATTTAAACTCATGCACACTTACAACAGGACATTTAGTTACTGTATTCTTGCACCATGACTGTATATGCATTTACATTTTGCCATAGCATATTAATCTGATTCTTATTCATTTTGAACATATTTATTATTAATATGCTGTTCAATCTACAAATGCGGGGAGAAATAAATGTTGTAATATATCTGCAGGAGAATAAGAACAGACTTGTTCAGGTCCTAATTTGATTAAAGTTATTAACACTGTGCTTTGACATCACTGTGATTCAAGAACTTGCTGAGAGCTGACATGTCAAAGTGTGATTTATTGCGCAAATCCTTTAATCAAACACTTTCATGCTCTGATTTATCAAACTGGTAAATCAAGCCAAGATCTATCGACTTAAAGGTAAACAAGACTTAGTATCACTCTCTCTCTCTTTCTCTTTTTCTCCCTCTCTCTTTTTCTCTCTCTCTCTCTCTCTTGAAAGTAAAACTGTAATTTATGTAAGTAAAAATAGAACATTTGGGGTGAATTCTGATACAGATATAAGAATGCTGATATAACAAAAGGAATCTGTTAAATATTCTGAATTCTACACAATTCCTTCGTTGTACCAACACAACTCGATTAGGTTAACTATATTGTTTTTACAAATTTAAGTGGATTGAACAAAACAATTAAGTTGTCCCAAGGAAATCTCAAGAATTCTGTTGTTTCAGCTCATTTTTAAATACAGTAAGTAGTTTGAACAAGCAAAAAGAGAAGAAAAAAAAATTGAGTGAGTGTATTTTCTTGTGGAACATGTTATCCCTTATAATTGCATTGTAATTAAATATATAATCTAATAATTCTCTCTCCCTCCAGTTATGGGGACCACGTGCAGCACTTTAAAGTCCTGAAAGATGGATTGGGCCAGTACTTCATATGGGATGAAGTGTTCAGCTCCCTCAACCAGCTGGTGGATTTTTACAGAATCAACAGCATTGCCAAGGAGCGGACGGTGTTCCTGCGCGAGCCAGAGGGGTCATTAGCTGTAAGAGCAGCACTGACTCTTTGAGCTTTACTGAGGTGCCAAAGTTCAACCCCGCTGAACTCTGATCTGCACATTTATAAAGCGAAAGCATGTTTGGCCAGTAGAGGATGTAAAAATCTCTTGAATCAATGCTAAATAGAAAAATGAAAAATATCTAGTAAAAACTTATTTACTTTCATCATGGCAAAGACAAAATAAATCAGTTAATAGAGATGAGTTAATAAAACTATTGCTCTCTGCTATCTGGTAAACAGAAATTGGGGGGAAAAAGGAGGGTCTAATAATTATGACTTCAAATATATATATATATATATATATACAGTTGAAGTCAGAATTATTAGCCCCGTTTTTATTTTTTTCTTCTTTTTTAAATATTTCCCAAATGAAGTTTGACAGAGCAAGGAAATTTTCACAGTGTGTCTGATAATATTTTTTCTTCTAGAAAAAGTCTTATGTGTTTTATTTTGGCTAGAATAAAAGCAGTTTTGAATTTTTTAAAAAGTATTTTTGGGACAAAATTATTAGCCCCTTTAAGCTAGTTTTTTTTCCGAGAGTCTACAGAACAAACCATCGTTATACAATAACTTGGCTAATTACCCTAACCTGCCTAGTTCACCTTATTAACCTAGTTAAGCCTTTAAATGTCACTTTAAGCTGTATAGAAGTGTCTTAAAAATATCAAGTAAAATATTATTTACTGTCATCATGACAAAGATAAAATAAATCAGTTATTAGAAATAGGTTTTTAAAACTATTATGCTTAGAAATGTGCTGAAACAATCTGCCCTCCATTAAACAGAAATTGGGGAAAAAATAAACAGCAGCGCTAATAATTCAGGGGGGCTAATAATTCTGACTTCAACTGTATATATATATATATATATATATATATATATATATATATATATATATATATATATATATATATTTTTTTTTTTTTTCACTTTATTGGTAAATTAGGATAACTATTGGTTTCCGGTGAGATGTAGCGCTAATGATAAAACTAAAATGTTGGACATGATGAAGAGCTTGTACTGTAGACAGTTTTTTTATTTATTCCAATAATCAGTTTTTTAAACAATAGTGGCATACTATTACAGTGCTAATCTTTATCCAAAAATTTAGTTTTTATGTATTTACAATATGAAATTTACAAATGATCTTAATGGAACATGATCACTTCTTAATATTCAAATGTTTTTGGCATTAAAGGAAAATGTTCATTTTACCTCATATAATGTATTTTTGGCTATTGTCCAAAAATATACCTGTGCAACATACTGTAAGATTGCTTTTGTGGTCCAGAGTCAGGGTTGTTTTTTGGATCTCAAAGTTGGTAAACTGGCACTTAAATGCTGGGATATTCACAGTTTTGTCATGATTTGTCATAAATAGTAAACCATTAATTTTTTCCTGTTAAATGTGTGTGTTTCAGAGGCCGCGTCATGCTCATGCCATCTTTGACTTCACATCTAATCACGTGACTCATCTGCGTTTCTTGCGCGGGGATGTGATTGACCTGCTGGACTGTTCGGATGCTCAGTGCTGGAGGGGTAGATGCCGTGGAAGAGTGGGCATCTTCCCACCTGAATATGTGCAGCCAATTTACCACTGAACATCATCTTCACCGTCCTCTACAGCACAGGCATATTCAGACACATTTACACACACTCCTTAAAGATCTAAAGGTGAGCTAAGCCTTTCGCATCAATGTTTGGTAATTGAGGTTTGAATTAAACCTTAGGTGTCAAAGTCTGCACTTGCATCATCCTCATTTTCAGTAAATCAGAAAGCCGTTTTAACTTGTCGACAAGCCAGTTTTGTAACACCCTTGCAGATCGTAACAATTGAGTATTCAGCACTCATCGATCATCCGTCATCCGAGCTTCCCGTCTTTTCTTCTTTCAAATACTTTCATAAATATATTTCATTTAAATATGTTCTGCAAAAAAATGCTTTGTTTTCAAACCAGAACTGCTATATACACTACCTGACAAAAGTCTTGTCGCCTATCCAAGTTTTAGGAACAACGAATAATTTGACTTCTAGTTGATCCATTTGTATCTGAAGTGGCTTATATAAAGGGCAAAGGCCTTTAGATTATGCTTATTTTACCACAATGAAATATTTTGGGGATTTTTAATTATTTAATTAGGATCTTACATCTGGGATCGATGACAAGCCTTTGCCAGGTAGTGTAATTGATATGTACATAGTAAATCTCTTTTTTTCTGTACTTATCCTTATATTTACTATTTACTTTTTATTACTAATGACATTTTTTTTGTGTTTTTTAATATTAATTTCTTTGAAAATGTTTTGTTCAATCCTAGGTTAATATGCAGAGACAGCTTAAATCATTTGCATGTTGATGCCGTCTCTGTAAACACTGTGGGTTTGTGGTGCTATAAAACATTTGCTCAACCAATGGTGTGAGTTTAGGGCGGGGCTAATATTTAGTTCAGCTAATGGTAGACTGGGGGAGTGTTTGCAGTTCAGTTTAAACACTTCAAAATAATAATAATAATAATAATAATAATAACGACAATAATAATAATAATACTAATAATAACAACAACAGTAATAACAATAATAATAATAACAACAATAATAATAACGACAATAATGATAATAACAATAATAATAATAATAATAATAATAATAATAATAATAATAATAACAACGACAATACTACTAATAATAAAAATACTAATAATAACAACAACAGTAATAACAATAATAATAATAACAACAACAATAATAATAACGACAATAATAATAACGACAATAATGATAATAACAATAATGATAATAATAATAATAATAATAACGACAATACTAATAATAATACTAATAATAACAACAACAGTAATAACAATAATAATAATAACGACAATAATAATAACGACAATAATGATAATAATGATAATAATAATAATAATAATAATAATAATAATAATAATAATAATAATAACGACAACAACAACAACAACAACAACAATAATAATAATAATAATAATAATAATAATAATAATAATAATAGTTGTAATAATAATAACAACAACAACAACAACAACAATAATAGTAATAATAATAATAATAATAATAATAATACAGATAATACAATATAACTTAAATGTCCCTTTGACTACTAGAATTATTATAAAAATGCTACTTTCCAAACACAAGTTAACAAATCATTTGTAATATTAACAGGAAATGTAATTATGTAATAAAATAATAATTTATTTTATAAAAATGTATTGTACAGAATATGTGGAAATTATATGTACTTTTTTCATGACATTATATCTATTTCTGTGCTTCACATTAGAGTAAGCAGATTGTTATCATTCATATGTATGTTCAGGAAGACCTCTGACTGAAAAATGTTGGATCCACCCACACCATATGAAAACATTTGGGACTCCATGACGTCAACATGATGATCATAAAAATAAGCAATAATAAGAAAATATTATTTTTGGAGTGGCAAACGTATTTCTATAATGATCGGTTTATTTATAACAGGTAATGTAATATAAATTATATTGACATGTGCTTTGTGAAAGTTAAACTGTTATTTTGATATACAAAAAATCCAGTATATCAGCAGGCAAGGCTTTGCAGCAACTGTTCTGAGCTGTGATGAAATCTGATTCAGTGAAACGCTGACTCATCTTCACACCGATTAACATTTAAATTGCCTGCACACTGTGAATTTGATCGCAAGAAGTGATACTGTATTCATTATCCATTCAACAGGACTGACAATTTCTATGTGCAATTTTGTAAATTATACCAATTTTAGGTGTAACATTGCTTAATAAGGAAAAGATGTGTTGTAAAAGCACACATGGTCTCTATGAATTCCAAACTCCAGTGATAAAATAAAGTTTTATTTACTAAATATATTTTGCTATGTTCCCTTTTGTACTCTAAATGCTGTAAAGGTGCACAAAATCTGCACATTCAAACACACTGCTTCACGATTTTAATGTCAATTTTCACATTTATAATAAAACAACAAAATAATTAAGAGAAAAAAGAACAAATAAAATCCATAAATATTCAACATTTCACTTTTAAAGTAACCCTCCATACATTTCTGTGTTTAACCCTTGTGTGTTGCTTAAGTTGACCTCCCTTTCATTATGTTAGTGGCTGTTTTTGCCCCGTTAATATTTTTATAACAATATTTTTTTTACTGCAAAGCCTTGACACCACATAATCATGCATTCTTGATTGTTGGTGTTTTTCCCTGTTGGGAAGAGGTAAAATTTGTCATTGTCACTGTTGATCATCAGCTATCACCATTAACCCTTTAGATATGCCTGTGCAACAAAAGAAATCTGACTTTTATATGGAGTGTGTGTGCATAAATATACTGTACTTACTGTGTTTACTATGTTTTGAGCTGCTTATTTAGATTTTCCTAGACAAATCAATGAGTATGTTTACATAGACACAGATAATCTGATTTAAATGCGATTAAAACAATACTCTGATAAAGAGTTCACTATGTAAAAAGCGATTTTTCATAATCGTTCATAATCAAACTGAACAGAAATCGAATTAAGACATGGAGTATGCCAATTTTTCACATTATTGAAGTGCAGTACAGGCATGTAAACACCACAATCAAACTATTATCATTGTGTAAGACTTTCGCCGCATTTTGCGACAGGATATTCCATACACACTCGGCTGTTTGACGCTATTCTCTGCACCTACCGAGTCAGTGAAGGACCACAGACACCTGCATCATGAAATGCTGAGTTTTTTTTTTCCCCATATGACATGCAGTATCATATTCCACTAAAACTACACTCTTCTAGCAGCTCATACTCGCATTTATTATCACGTTTGTCACAGCAAGATGCATGAAATGTTCCTGAATGAAAGTGAAAGTGCCAAACTCAAAGTCAACAAATTAAAAATGAAACACCCGAAATTACATGAAACTCCGAAGGAAAACTAGATGACGTTAATTGAATTATGTGCATGTAAAACGGATCATGAAAGGAACATTTAAAAAGAAGCTCATGTAAACACCTTAATCATATTATTGTCTTATTCAGATTAGGGCAAATAGTTTGATTACTGATGTCCGTGTAAATGCGGTCAGTGTAAGTGCACGAAGGTCACTCTCATACACTCAAAAACACAATATACCACATGCAACTCCATAGAAAAGCCAGAAAATAAGCTTTTTTTTGCATTGCAACTGATGATCAACTGCAAAAATGACAAATTGTACCTCTATTCAACAGGGAAAACCACAGACAATCAAGAATACATAATAATATAGTGTTAATATAGCTTTGGAATAAAAAATATATATATTACAATGGAAGTCAATGGGGCAAAAACTGCCACTAACATAAGAAAAGGGTAGTACATTTGTTGAGGTTTAAACATTTTTCAGAGCATTTCCCCAAAATTTGTGTCAAAAAATAAGATTTGTCACCAAATATCCATTTATTTGCTCAAACAAAGGGATAGTTGTGTAGAAATAAGACTCAACATCTCCACAGAGTGGACAAAAACATCCCCAACAGCACACAAGGCTTCAAATCATTTATGAGCTTATCTCACAACCATATAATCGCTGACTATTCTCCCACTATTGTTGAAAAAATAATTAAGGCTGAAATTACACAGTCAATGGATGTGCTGTACAGAAAATTACACTTTAATCACTGCTCATTTATTTAAAACTGCAGTTAAATTTACGCCCATTTCTTTGGGAGTATTCGATAATGATCACATTTACTTTTTTTTTTTCCCAGCCATTGCAAACGTATTAATCAAACATACAGTTAGATCTTATTATAACCTATTGCTGATGGTAAAACCTGTTTCTCAAAGCCAAATGTGCAGTTTTATGTCACAAATAACAAATAATTTACTGTATCACTATTTATCAGTCAGTTGAGTCCGCTGATGATGCCTTGCAATGTTTTCCACTCAATTGAATAGCAAATTTAATGAAGGTAAATAATAATTGAAATCCAAAAGGTTTTATAAGATATTTAAGTGGAGCATTTGTATCAAAAACACAAAAAAGCTGCTGTGTATGTTATGCGTAGTAAGCATAGAGGAAGATGTTAACGCACATGAGAATGATGGCATTGACACAGCAGAAACGAGACCAGAAGGGATCTTCTGTGGTGCTGTGAATGATGGGGGGTGGAGTCCCGGATGCGAAACGGCCTGGTCGAGGGCTGCAGAAGCCAGCGGTGCGGACACATTTACCCCTGCGCACAGACTCACAGCCTAGAATCGAAGACAAAGGGTGGATGTCAAATGTACATTTTAAGAACAGTTATAGTATTTACATTTAATAATAATAAAAATTATTATTATTGCTATTATTAGGGTGACGCAGTGGCGCAGTAGGTAGTGCTGTCGCCTTACAGCAAGAAAGTCGCTGGTTCGAGCCTTGGCTGGGTCAGTTGGCATTTCTGTGTGGAGTTTGCATGTTCTCCCTGCGTTCGCGTGGGTTTCCTCCGGGTGCTCCGGTTTCCCCCAAAGTCCAAAGACATGCGGTACAGGTGAATTGGGAAGGCTAAATTGTCCAAAGTGTATAAGTGTGTAGGGATGTTTCCCAGAGATGGGTTGCAACTAGAAGGGCATCCGCTGTGTAAAAACTTGCTGGATAAATTGGCGGTTCATTCTGCTGTGGCGACCCCAAATTAATAAAAGGACTAAGCCGACAAGAAAATGAATGAATGAATGAATTATTATTATTATTATTATAAACGAATAACGATATATTCTATTTATAATCAGGGTGTGAATTATACATTGATGATCCACGGGGTCAACTTTCTTGGTAATAGTTTGTGTACTGCATGCTTCAGTAAATCTAATTTATGAATGTATTTTGGTTTGGGGGAGATTAGTAAATGTTAGGATGTATTTCACAAGCACATATTGTACCACTTACTGCTTCTTAAAGCGCAGTTTGATCACAGGGAGTTGGATCAGATTTTTTAAATCCTATTTTATTTTTGCAAATCCTGTCCTGTAGACTTTTGTGTTACCACAGAGACATGTTGATACAAACCTGTCGGTAGGTAGGGAAAACCACACAACCGCAATGCTTTGCATCTTATTTTGACGTCAGAAAATAATAAAATACTTATATCACTCCAGTATTATCATGGACACATATACCTACACAAATGTTGAGGTCTAAATGGTCTAAAAGGTCTAAATGTTGATTTTGTATTACAGGTGCCCTTTAGAACACCATGTGAAAACAAGAACGCACCCCCCTCATCTATTTGTGATCTGAAATTCTGATTTACGAACCGTGTAAATGCTCAACATAAATAATTACACCCCGTTTTGAAAATGAATATTTTTATTAATATTTTTATTCATTTCTCAGTGAATGTAGGTCATGTATTTTGGTGCATTTGAAACAGATTTATTAAACAGATGCATTTGAAATAGATATATTTATTAAGGGTATATTTTAGTGACCAAAAGATTACATTTTTATTTAAATTCATGTGAAATATTGGGGGGGAAATATTACAAACTAGAAAACGTCAACAAATTTGTTTTGTTTATTTTGAATTTTGCTCTTTTTAAATGTTTTATTTAATATTTTCCCTGACATATACATTTGGGTGTGGTAATTTTGGACGATTATCATAAGTTGTTTTGTTAGATAAGCTCCAGATTTGGCTTCAGTACTGACTAATCTAATGTACAGTTGAAGTCAGAATTATTAGCCCCCCTGTTTATTTTCCCCCCCAATTTCTGTTTAACTGAGAGAAGATTTTTTTTTTTGAATATTTATTTATTAAGTTTTTGCATTTACAGTTTAAAGCATTACATTACCCCTACCCAACCAAAACCACTGCGTTGAAAGGGTAGAAGAAAAAAAAAAAAAATATATATATATATACATACATACATATATGCACATACACACATACATATACACATCATTCCAGAGTTCCTGAGTTGACAGTGAGAAAACAGAGTGTACTGTGTATATTTGTTCAGTCCATACTGTATGTTGTCATTTAACATGAGAGGCTTGGTAATATCCAAAAGAGGGAATATACAAAAGAGGTGCATCAACACATTTCTAAACATAATAGTTTTAATAACTCATCTCTAATAACTGATTTATTTGATCTTTGCTATGATGACAGTAAATAATATACTACTAGATATTTTTCAAAACTTTTCTATACAGCTTAAAGAGACATTTAAAGGCTTAACTAGGTTAATGAGGTTAACTAGGCAGATTAGGATAACTGGACAAACTATTGTATAACGATGGTTTGTTCTGTAGACTATCGAGAAAATATATAGCTTGAAGGGGCTAAAAATTTTGACCTTAAAATGGTGTTTAAAAATGAAATACTGTTTTTATTATAGCCAAAACAAAGCAAATAAGACTTTCTTCAGATGAAAAAATATTATCAGACATACTGTAAAAATTTACTTACTCTGTTAAACATCATTTGGAAAATATTTTAAAAAGAAAAAAAAATCAAAGGGGGGCAAATCATTCTGACTTCAACTGTATATGCAGAAATATAATATTGTAAAGCATCTTAGAGAAAATATTAATACAAATAAGAGATTTGTAAGGACTGTACTCATATATGCTGAGAATATGCTGAGACTAATTTTAAAAGCACAATGCAATATCCTAACGCTGTGTTTGGTAACATAATCCACTTGCACTTGAAAAGCAACAAAATGCCAATTGGTATTTTTCTCAGTTCCTTGTGTGTGTTCTCACGCATATAAGACTTTTGTTTTGTCAACTGATACACAAACGCAGAACACCGCCACACCCTGATGAATAGACCACAACAATCCTCAGGAGATCAATCATACTACAATATATACTCCTCTCACACCTCGACTTGTGGAAGGAAGCTGGATTAGTCTATAAACTGTCCCGTAAAACATGTCCTCATCACTCAGAAATGTCCTCCTTACTGATATAGTGTAAGTTGTTGAACATGGACTAGCCAATCACAGGTCAAAAGGACATACAGGCTTGACTAAATTGGCTGGATTGTTTCTTTCTGAATTATTTTTTCTGAATCAATTCTTTTTAAATCAAGCAGGTTCCTTTGCTGGTTATGTTTTGTGGTACTCGGCAGCAATAGTATAGGTGATATATAATCGTTAACCTCATTAAAGTAGTGAAAACAAATGTCTGTGTTTCCTACCGTCTGTCCTGCGGCTGAGTGTAGAGACTTTCTGCAGAGGGATTTCTCTCTCGGTGCTGTTGTGGAGAGTCCACCATGTAAGATTACGTGTCTGAAACAAAAACAAACACAAGTACATAAGCAAATATACTACTGGATTTGATTAAATACCATTTTGAACAAATCCTCGATGAAGGGATTGATTGATTGATCATTTTAAGTAATTTCTTTATTCTTTCTTTTCATTGTTTGACTAAACTGTCAAAGGTTGAGACAATTTTACACACAGTTTTATTAAAAGTACAAACTAAAAAGTGTTTTGGTTTTTCAGTGCTTGTATTGCTGAATTAAACATGATAATAGTGAGAACACATGATAACAATGTATTTAATAAAATTAATTCATTATTTGCTTAACCCTTGTGTGCTGTTGGGGATGTTTATCAGTCATAATTTGGTCACAGCTTTCGCCGTGTTTCAGCAATAGAATGGTTTTTGATGGCAAATCTTATTTTGACACATATTTTGGGAAAATGTTTGAAATTTTTTATAAAAAACACTCTGGGCAAATGTACTACCCTTTCGTTATGTTCAGGGCTGTTTTTGCCCCATTGACTTCCATTACAGTGACATTTTTTTTTTTGACAAAGCCATGACCTCATATCATCATGCATTCTTGAATATTGGTGGTTTTCCCTGTTGGGAAGAGGTAAAATTACAAATGTTTACTGTTGATCATTAGTTGCAGTGCACAAACAGCTTAGTTTGTAGATAAATATTATATCTGCTGTTTTACTCCATAGAACTCCAAAGAGCCCATAGAATATAAAAACCAGAAACTTTTTTGCACAGGCCTATTTAAACCATTAATAGTGTCAACTGATGATCAACAGCAAAAATTAAATGTTTGACCTCTTCCCAACAGGAAAAAACACCCAAAATCAAGAATACATGATTATTTGGTGTCGATGCTTTGCAATCAAACAATTTTGTTATAATGGAAGTGAATGGGGCAAAAACAGCCACGAACATGGCAGTCAATATGAACAGTACACAATACAATGGTTAATTTGTGATGCTGAACCACAAAACCAGTCATAAATGCCTATTGTTTGAAATCAATTGAAATTGATCTTGAATGTATGTATACACACACACACACACACACACACACACACACACACACACACACACACACACCTGTATATACAGTGCTCAGCATATACGAGTACACCCCCCACACATCTCTCATTTCAATTTATTTTTTCTATAGGATGCTTTGCAGTATTATATTCGTGCATATACATTAGTTCAGTCAGTACTGAAGTCAAATCTGGTGCTAATCCAACAAAATAACATATGATAATGGTTAAAAAATTTGTAGTAGTAATTTATATCTTAAGGAAAAACTTCAATCAAATGAAACAAAATAATATATAAAATATTGTTGAAATGTAGTTTCTATTTTTTTGCAATATTTTGCTTGAATTTAATTGTATTATCTTTCCAAAGATGTTCTGTGACTCAAATATTCGTTTAATAAATATATCTGTTTAATAAATCTGTTTTGTTTAAACGCACCAATATATATTACCCATATTCACTGAGAAATGGATAAAAATATTCATTTCAAAATGGGGTGTACTCATTTATGCTAAGCACTGTATATATATTCATATGTAATGTAATGTGTGTATTTAAATAGTGCATTTATTGTGTATGGCCATACACATATAATATATAAACAACATAGTTGTTTAAATGAAGTGCTTATAGCAATGCACATTACTAATCAAAAATTGAGCTTTGATATTTTTAAAATGGGAAATATATTCATGATTTTTACTTGGGCTAATGTTCTAATGATTTTTGGCATAAAGAAAACATCTATTTCTAAATATGTACTCGTGCAATAAGGTTTGGGTTTCAGGGTCTCATTTAAGAAATGATTAATACATTTTTTCAGCAAAGATGCATTCGAATGATCAAAAGTGACAGTAACTTCATTGTATGGCTTCTTTAAAGTTTCTAAATTTTTTGAACCAGCATAACTATGTCATAAAGAATGTTTCATAACCACCAAATTATCATGTGACATCTGAAGGATCATGTGAGAATGAAGACTGCAGTAATCCACAATACAACTTTGTCTTTGTCTTTGTATTTTGGGTCAGAATATTTGATTTAGTCAATATAAAAGACCTCAAATCCTTAAAGCATGTGAGATATTACAAACCAACTTTTACAAGGCACAGTATATTTATTCCACACTAAACCAGGGCTGTGACGCTACACAGATAAAACAGGCAATTGACATTTATGAATGTATTTTGCAGACAATAATAATTGTAGAATCTTACATCAGCATTTCAAACAGAATCCATTTAGACTGGTTTCAAAACTTCTCAAAATTCTGATTTTAGATTTTAAACAAGGGCATTATGAACTATAGTGCATTGGTGTAAAACAATGAAACTTTATTTCATTGATTTACCTTGAAAACACTATTCAGGAGAGAATATTACCTGTTCCTCAGTGGGTGGAGGGGTCAATAGACTGATCACAGCCACTACTATAGCAGTGAGGGCACACAGTATGATGGCGAAGTGCAGGTAGTGCATACTCCTCAAGACAGAGGGAGCAGGGTCAAACACGCCACAGCGAGGGGGAGGAAACGCAAACTCCAGGACCATCCGTGTCAATCCCACCACTAAACCCACCATCAGGCCCCAGAACGCTCCCTGCAAACACAATACCAAACAAACACTTTCAGCTCTGCATGCCAAAGTCGGTGCTCCCTTTTACTCAGCCAGTTACATGACCGTGAGAGACTGTTAACCTAATTATTATTTTTAAACACTTAAACGTTCAAGTGCCTTGACTGGATGCACCAAATGAACTCTGAGCTGAGATTCCTGACATAACAGCCTCTCATTTGCTTATTCAAGAGACTTAAGGGTGGAGTGCGCTGTGAAAGTTCTTTGACAAGCATAAAATACCTGTGAAACACTGTAGTGATGGGTGTCTGAAATCACCTGATCAATCAATCCATCTGTCTTCTTACCTTGACAGAACATTCCTGTGAATTCCTGTCATTTTTCAAGTGGAAAGTATTTGATATTAAGGGCTTGCTTTCACAGCATTTAGTTACAGAAAGTCAGATATAGGTACAGATATAGCCACCAGACCCAGTTTGGCCAAGAAATCATTTAACGAAAACATCTACAGACAGGACAAACAGGTAAATGCAGCTAACATTAGCATTTTAAATGTGTCTGTCTTGGTGGTATGGTGGCTCAGTGGTTAGCAACACAGCAAGAAGGTCACTGGTTCAAGTCCCGACTGGGCCAGTTGGGATTTCTGTGTGAAGTTTGCATGTTCTCCTTGGGTTGGCATGGGTTTCCTTGAGGTGTTCCGGTTACCCCCACAATCCAAAGACATGAGCTATAAGTGAATTGAATTAAGTAAATTGGCCGTAGTTCATGAGTGTGAATGTGAGAGTGTATGGGTGTTTTCCAGTGCTGGAAGGGCATCCGCTGTGTAAAACATATGCTGGAATAGTTGGCGGTTCTTTTCTCTGTGGCGACCCCTGCTATATAAGGGACTAAGCAGAAGGAAAATGAATTAATGAATGATTGTACAGTTGAAGTCAGAATTATTAGCCCCCCTTTGATTTTTTTTTCTTTTTTAAATATTTCCCAAATTAAGTTTGTAAGAGCAAGCAAATGTTCACAGTATGTCTGATAATATTTTTTTTTTCTTCTGGAGAAACTCTTGTTTTATTTTGGCTAGAATAAAAGCAGTTTTAAATTTTTTAAAACCATTTTAAGGACAAAATTTTTAGCCCCTTTAAACTATATTCTTTTTCGATAGTCTACAGAACAAACCATTGTTATACAGTAACTTGTCTAATAACCTTAACCTGCCTAGTTAACCTAATTTACCTAGTTAAGCCTTTAAATGTCACTTTAAGCTGTATAGAAGTGTCTCGAAAATTTCTAGTCAAATATTATTTACTGTCATCATGACAAAGATAAAATAAATCAGTTATTAGCAATGAGTTATTAAAACTGTTATGTTTAGAAATATGTTGAAAAAATCTTCTTTCCGTTAAACAGAAATGGGGGGGGGGGGGGGGTAAACAGGAGGCTAATAATTCAGGGGGGCTAATAATTCTGACTTCAACTGTATATCTGACAAACATAATGATATATAACGTATATATGATATATAGGCATTTATTCATTCATTTTCTGCTTAATCCCTTTCTACATCCGGGGTTACCACAGCGGAATGAACCGCCAACTTATCCAGCATATGTTTTACACAGCGGATGCTCTTCCAGCTGCAATTCAGTGTTGGGAAACATCCATACACACTCATTCACTCACATACACTACAGCTAATTGAGTTCAATTCACCTGTGCCACATGTCTTTGGACTGTGTTCGATAAAAAATACAGACTGTGGAATGTGTTTTTAACAGAAATATTCTGTAAACGGAATTTACGAATGTAAAATGTTAAAAACAGTAAATTACTGGCAACCACATCTGCCGGTATCTTTCCGCAAAATCAAGAAAGGAAAATAAAAAACGTTTTTTGTATCAACATTGTAGAGGTTAGTAGCATCTCTGTTCATGTCCAAGATGAACTGAGAGTTTTTGATGTTATGCTGCATCTTCTTTTGTTTATAGGTAATTATATAGTTACTAATGCAGTGAAAATCTGTTTGTTAATTTCAATCACACATGAACACATTATTGCATCTAATGACTTTACATTTTTGTGCACTACGCTATGATTGTGTAAACTGATCATTGGATCAGTTCATGAAATATTTTTTTTTTTTTTTTTAATAAATTTATACAGTTCTATAAAACTTCCATATTTTTCACAGAAACTCTGGCAACCACAGCTGCTGGTATTTTTTTTCGTAAATATAACAATTTTTTTTTAATAATTATCTTTTCGGGGTTTTCACCTTTTATTTTTAAAAGGACAGTAGAGAGAATTGACAGGAAAGCATGGGGAGCAGAGAGAGGGGAAGGATCGGCATAGGGCCGCGAGGCGGAATCGAACCCGGGTCGCCATGAGCAGCGGAATGCATGTGTCAACGCACTAACCACTACACCACTAGCACCGACTTCGTAAATTTAACATATATTTTACACTATAAGAGTTTGCTAATTAACACTCTCCCAGTGTTGATAATGTTAACACTTTCAAAAGTGTCTTTTTTAACACTTTTATAATGGTTCCCATATAAACTCTGAGGGAGTGTTAATTTTAACTCTAAGGTAGTTAAATATACTATCTAAAATTTGCATTGTGGGGGAAACCGGAGCACCTGGAGGAAACCCACATGAACATTCACATATTATATATTATATACATATTCTTTTGTTGGGTATAATTACAATTTATTTTATATTTCATCCTCAACACATTCACACAGCAAAATATGGGGACCCAAAACAACTCTATGGGTGTTAATTTCAACCCTTTGAAAGTGTCTCATGGGGTCCACTCAAAACAAAGTTAAATCAACACTTTCAAAAGGGTTGGCACATTGACACCGAAGTAAGGGTTAATTTTAACTCTGGGCAGAGTTAAAATATGTAACTATATTTAACACCGCCTGGTGTAATATATTGTTATTTTATTCAACTCTCTTGAGTGTAAATATGGTAAAAAGGTCAAATAGACTGTAAATTACAAAATAAAAAACATTTTATTTGAAAACATTCACCACTTCAACAATTCATTCAGTTTTTAAAATGCAACAATGTCAAATATGCTTTAAATGTTTTATTAGTACAGACAGCATCAACAAAATATGTATGACCAGTGCACAAAAAGGCTGTTTCAGTCCTTTAGTCCAAACTTGATGTTTCATCAGAGCCATATGAAAGTTCAATATAGCGTCACTCATAGTTTTCTTCTGAATGCATAGTTTTCTTCTGAAATTACATTTTAAACAACTTGGCGTGCAAATCTTTCACTTCTGGTGTTTCCTTGGTCCTCCATATCAAACACAGCAGTTTAAATGAAGGTATAAATGCTGTAAACTTGTGTGAAAACAAACTGGAGCTAGGAAATCTCATCAAGCTTGTCCTGTGAATGAAGTGCTTCCCAGCCACAGGATGATCTTTTTATCCATGACGATGTAATAGCTGCTGATCGCTCGTCTGGTGGTTTCTGATGCACGGATATACTGTAGGGTGATGCTCATCTAAGAACTCTTCAAGACTCCAGCATGACTAAGAAAAATGTTTGAAAACAAATTGCAATCAAATTCTATGATATATTTAAAAGAACATTTAAAGTAAATAAAACATTCAAGAAATCTAAACTCACCTTTTGAAAATCTTCATGATGATCCACAACTTGACTCTCCCAGCTGGTTGAGGTGACAGGATATGGAAAAGTAGAAAAAACACATATATCACTGTTGGATCTCCAAAAACAATTAGGTTAACCACTATGACTAGAACTGGAAAAACAGGCAGCTGTCTGTCCAGAATCCTGAATTTAACACAACACTTGGAGCAAAATTTAGAGGAGCTTAAAATCTTTTATATCATTTAGTGATGCTGACTTCCCCAAAATATTGGCCACAGTGTAAAAAATATTCATAAACTTACAGTTTTCTGTAAGCGTGTGCGTGTGTGTGTGTGTGTGTGTGTGTGTGTGTGTGTGTGTGTGTGTTTGTGTGTGTGCGTGTTTCTTTACCAGATTCAACTTGTTAGGCCCTTTCAGGTCCAGTATTGACGCCACCTTTCCTGGAGTCTAGCAGATGTTTCAGGTCCAAATAGAATCTAAAATATTAGGATAAGCAGAAGAGGAAAAGTGCAAAGCAGAGCAAAACATTATTTAAGTAACAGTTCACCCACAATACAAAACTTATCACCTTCATGTCATTTGTTATTCTTTAATGCTCTAATACCCTCTCAGCTTATTGTGAAACAAATACAGAACTTTATCAAACATACCTTCATTATTATCGCCACATATGACCAAGAAGTTGTGCTTGGTCATTTCACCAACTCTGGAAATACACCATTCGTCTCTAATCAGCCACCGTCACAGGGTCTTGTGTTATTGTATAGAGAACTGTGGCTGTTAAAAAACAACAACACATTAGTATCAAACACATATGCATAACCTTCAGATAAAAGGGAGAGATGAACATCACAAAGTATGCCTCACACTTTTTCAGATATCTTTTGATTCAGATGTTGATTATTGATAATAAATCTACAAATCAAACCTGTATCATCATTAGGCTGCTCAAATATGAATCAGTTGATTAATTTTACAGACAGGTGGCTGTTTACAACGCACTAAATTGTCTTTAATAAAACGTAAATGTTGTGTACAGTACATGCTAAGTTTAGCCTATAGTTTTAAGCACAATATCATGTGGGAGAAAAAGCTTGACTAAGATGTTCCTGACTACAGAAATAGCCTAACTTACTAACGTCAGACATCCCGAGTTGGGAAAAATCATTTTCGGGGGATACAGAGTTGATTTGCGGGAGGTAGCGGGAGAGATGAAGACCTGAAGAGCAATGAGATGAGTTGCGCGCGACGTACCTAAAGAGCGGTGGGGGTGACTTGCGCGCGACGTACCTGAAGAGCTGGGAGGGATGCGGTGGAGAGGGGTGTGAAAAGTGTTTAATGACCGGGCGGGAGACGCGCGATTTCCAGGAGATTATCATTCATTTGCGGGCATCTAC